TTTTTTTCATTTCATTGCCTAGTCACCCTCCACTGGACACACTCCAGCTTGTCGATCCTCTAAAACACTATATCCAGGATTGACCAAAATATCCCAGATATGTATGGTATCATACAGCCAGAATAAAGAGGATTATCAGCTTTCTAATTATAGATTTTATAATCACATTAAAACAGTCCCAGTTTCCATCAACTTTCATGGCTACCATTTAAAATTGTTGACTCATATTGGATTTATGCTACATAAAAAAAAATATTTCTTTCCCATAAATTTTTAGGTATCTCCAATATTTACTAGTGTGACTAATTGTTGTAACTGATAAACTCGACTGTGAGGCAAAAATCATAGATTTAGAGATTTATCTCTATTAGAGTCCCTCTGTAAGACTCTGTGGGCATAGTGACTGGGATTCAGTGTACTACTACCCAGACTCTAGGAGCTGATGGGACATTATCCTCATGATGGTGATTAATAGGGCAGATGTGCCTAAACGACTCTTTGGGAATACAGAGGGGATGCTATATAGAGAGAAAACCTGTGTGCCGTAGAATGAATAGTTAGTGTTGTAAAGAGAGTGTGACCTGTGTAGTGTGATCTTTCTGTGGGGATCTGAGTGTTGGTCATTTTTGGTTGACTTATGCAGGTGTTAATTCCTAAGTAATTTGAAGAGTTTATAGCACAGATCCTTGGCAATTTGGAGGCTTCTCGGGGAAAGATGCATAACTTTCTTATATCGCTCATATATGCCCCCTTCTCTCATCTGAAATTGTTACCGCCCTGCTTCCAGTCTTTATCACCTCTGGTCTAGACTATTACAATAGTCTGCTAGTTTCTCTGCCTCGTCACTCCCAGTCCAATCCATCCTCCACTCAGCTGTCAAAGTAGTCTCCCTAAAGTTCAAATCTGACCTTGTCACTCTCCTCCCATTCAATCAAATCCAATGGCTCCCTATTGCTTCCAGAATCAAAGATAAAGTCCTCTCTGTTTGACTTTTAAAGCCTTCCATCACCTCACGTTTTCCTACCTTTTGGGTCTTATACCTTCCTCCTCATCCTCTATATTTTAAAGACCCCAGCCGTCTTCCTATTCCTCACAAAACACACCAATTCCAGACACTGGCCATTTTTGCTGATTGTCCCCCATGCCAAGAATTCTCTCCCTTCTCAGCTCTCCTTCCAGACTTTCCTGACTTCTTTCATGTACCGGCTATAATTCCACCTCCTTAATTAAGCCTTTCCTGATTCCCATAAATGTTAATGTCTTCCCTCTCTTGATTATCTCCAATTTATCCTGTACAAAGTTTGTTTATATAAAGTTATTTTCATATCATCTCACCCTTTAGACTGTAAGTTCCTTGATAGTAGGTATTGTCTTTTCCTTTCTTCATATCCCCAACACTTATACCACAGTGCCTGGAACATAGATGGCATTCTTCAAATGCTTATTGACTTTGTTTCAGTCCTCAATCACCACTCAGTGATTTTTCAAGAAGTACAGTGAGTGAATTAGTTGCCACCTCTACAACTCTTTCTCAAAACCTGGATGTTAGTTGATCCAACCAAGGAGATCTAGTTTCATTTAAGACACTTTACAAGTTTTCTCCCTGTGGCCTTTCCCTCCTTAGTTTCAACTCCCTGATATTTTTCTTTCAATGTTTCTATAATGAAGATCATTATTCTTAATAGAAAAAGGAGGAAAACCAGAGTTCCATGGTGTGACTTTTTCTGCATCATCCATTAGCATCATTTTATCGTATCTAAGAATCTGACCTATCTCTTCCTTGCCCTTATTTTCAAGAAAATTTAGAAAGCCTAAGTGGCCTTAATTATTTTTCAAAGTCTAATTTTACTTGGGTTTTTGGCATCTCTTATACTCTTCCTAAAGAACTGTCCTACTTCTTGGTTTTCACCATTAACCTTCCTTTCCTTGCTTCCATCTATCTTGATATATGACTTTGAAATCTCAACAAAGAGCTCCCTGTGTATGTATGTCAATCTCCGGAGGCACTCACCCTTTTAGGGAGAGCTACTCAACCTGCTCAATTTAACTTCCATTCTAGAATTTCAGGCCATGAGAACCTCTCTATTCTATCATTGTTTCAGGTCCAGATCTGGATATAACTGAACTCCCCTTGCTTATTTCCCATTCTAAACCAAAATCAAGTTTCCAATCAATCAATAAATATTTATTAAGTGCATACTTGGCAGCTAGGTAGCACAATGGATAGTGCACTGGGCCTGGAATCAGGAAAATCTGAGTTAAAATCTATCCCCAGACACATACTAGCTGTGTGACCCTGGGCAAGTCACTTAACCCAGTTTGCCCCAGTTTCCTCACCTGTAAAATGAGCTGGAGAAGGAAATGACAAACCACTCCAATATCTTTGCCAAGAAAACCCCAAATGGAGTCACAAAGTATGGGACATGACTGAAAAGATTGAACAACAACTGCATATTCTGTGCCAGACACCGTGCGAAGCACTGAGGAGACAAAAAGAGACAAAAACCAAACAAACAAAAATAGTCCCTGCCCTCAAGGAGGTCATAAGCTAATGGTATCTAAGTTCCCAAATTTCTATTCTCTCCAAATATCTAGTCATTTCCCCCTCATAATGGCCTTTACTTTGAGGAAGATAAATTCCACAGTGTAAAATGTACATACTTAGGTAAAAAATACCTTCGCAACTATTTTGAGCTATTCCACAGTTTACTTCAGATTTTAAAAGCAGTCTGTCTGACTGTGGTAGGGGAAAAAAAGTATCAATAAAGGTGTTTGGTTGTTTTTTTTTGTTTTTTTTTATTTTGTTCTAGTTATAAAAAATATATAATATATATATATTATAGAATATATGTATGTATGTGTGTATATATGTGTGTGCATAACTATGTGTGTATATATGTATATATATGATATGTGTGTATGTATGCATATGTGTGTGTGTGCATATGTGTGTGCATAATATCAAGTAACTGAGCTATAGATGCAGAGGAAGGCCCAGGTTTGTAGTAGCAAATAGCCCTGTGTAGGTACCACATGTTGTTCCTTGTCCATCTGTGTCTGTCATGAGAGTCCATTCATCTGTGTCTGTGTCTGTGTATGTCCTTCTCTGCCAGAGGTCCTTTTCCTAAGCTATCTTTCACCTCTGTACAATTAATCAACCAACCAATACTCAATGCCACACTTCTCTATCTCCTTTCCCAAGTGTTTCCCCATCCTCTCATTCATCATCCTTTCACCTTCTTAACTTCAGTCCTTTAGGTCTCAAGGACACTCTACCATCTCATCCTACCTTGAGTATTGCCAATCTGATTCCATCCTGTTGGTAGTTCCTATTTTCTCCATCTAATCATTCTGAACACCACATTTTTTTTTAAACATTTCCTTCATGGCTGTGTAACTCACTTTTGCATTCTTGAAGCAACCAAGACCTTTACTCTACATTTTAACACACAAACACACACATACACACACACACACACACACACACACACACACACACACATGTCTGTATATGTCTGTATATGATCCCATATTCAAAGATGAGTCCAAAAACCTCTAGCTCCCGGCTGAGGTGTCTCCTACTAACTCATAATCACTTTTCATTTGTTTGTTTGTTTGTTTTTTGTTTTTTGTTTTTTTGTTTTTTTGTTTTACCTCAGCATCATGGCTTCCTGGGCATAACTTGTCCTCTACTAGTAGTTTCCAGCATCCCTCTTTAAGCAGCCTGGACATTATATATCTCTTTACAAAATCTTTTTCAAGGAGGCTACAAAATTCACTTTTGTACTCCCAAAGCCATTCCCAATGCTTCATCGTCACACCATTAGCAAATGTAAGCCCTTATAAATGAGAAAATGAGTAAATGAGAAAAGAAAACTTGAGTCCCTTGCCTGCAGGGTCTTGCAGGAACTCCAAATCATATTTTGGGAGAATGGCACATGCTCACACAATTTCCCTCAGTGGCTATTCAAAAATAGTTTAAGTCAGTGGTTAGGAGGGGATTAGGGAAAGGAGCAAAAGACAGCAAAGAACAATGAAGCCCTGGATTTCCTTTCAACAGTCTCAAGTGAACTCAAAGCTTGATTGAGGACAGCTGGAGTCATAAGACAGCATAGGACCTGAGGGATTCCCACCCATTTTATTTTATGTTGTTGTTTGTTTGTTTGTTTGTTTTGCAGATAGGACAATTTATTCAGAGAGCACTAGAAAGACAGTAAAAAAAATAATTAAAACAATAACTTACTAGTTGTAGAATATAAAATAAACCCATATAACTTGTCAATATTGTTGTATTACCAACAAAATACAGCAGGAAGAGATAGAGAAATTTCATTCAAAATAACTACAGTATTTTAAGTAATGAACCACATGTAGGAGCTGGCAATATTCCATATATGATGACATCGATGCCATATCATTTTCAATAAAATTATACTTTAAAATATATCTGTACTTATTATTGAATGTGATACATAATAGAATTGCATTTTTTTTTTAAGAAGGATAAATCAATAGAGGAGTTAAACAGTCCCATTTCTTTCCATTCTACATATTAGCATTATCTCCAATCTTCAACTACAAATTTGATAAGCATGCCATCATCCAAGCTATTGATTACAATGAGCAGGGGCACATGGCGCCACTGTATAATTTGCCTTTATGTTATCATGTACTTGATTCTGCTTCCCCACTCCTTGGTCTTCTTTCTTTATTTCCAATCTCTCTTCTTCCCAACATTTTTTAAACTTTCCTTCCCTTCTCATTTAACCAGCAGACAAAGAAGAGGAGGGGTGGGGTATCAGAGCTGGGGAATTGCCCTCTGCTCCCAATTTCAGGTTTTGGATGAATTCCAACATCAAAAGAAAGATATGTTCCACCATGTTGCTTTCAGAGTCAATGCTATAAAATAGAGGTCCCTATGGACCGAAGCTAAGAGATCAGGCCTGTGGTGATACTTTATACTTTCACAGAATGCCCTGATTGCAGTGACAGTGACTTACCTCCACCAGCTTATTGGCATGTTCACGGAAAACTTGAGCGTACTCCTTGACTTCTTTCTCATTCCCGCTCTTGGCAGCCTCAATAAGTACTAGCAACGGGACATTGGTTTCCAGGAATGAGTCTGATATATGGTCCATCACTGCCTTTCGAAGCTACAGGAAAAGAAAACGGCAATAAGCAATTGAACACTTGTCAATTGAGTTTTTTTTTTCTGATTTGTCTTTTTCTGACATATTTGCCAATTGTGGTTACACTTGGGGATAACCTTCTAATTAAAATGAGCCCCGCCCCCCATTTCTCCGAGAAGTATCTATTCGAGGCAGTACAAGGGAATGTGCAGTGATGAACCTAACAATTAAAAGGCTCTTAGAGCAGCTAAAGTCTCACTTGCATACATAGATCAGATTTGTTTTCAATGCCCAGTGAACGGCCGCCAACATTGTGGTACCTCCATAACTACAGCATTAAGGAGCTTAATAATGCTTCACTGTACTTTTAGTAGTAATTTAAAGATGGCAACATCATACAATGACCACGTCTAGAATCAGAGGATGTGGGTTCAAATCCCACCTCTAATGACCTTTGATATGTCACTTAAATTCTCAGGGCTTCAGTTTCCTCATCTATAAAATGAGGAGGTTGGACTAGATGACCTCTTCAGTCTTTTCCAGCTCAGTACATGTTTATAAGTGTGTTACAAGAGGAGTGCCACTGACAGCCCCTCCATATTTCCTCTAGGACACTCTTTTCTGCATTTAAATCCCTTCAAAGCTGGGTGTAGCTATTTTTTTTTCCTCACTCCCCAAGTGACTAGTGTCATCTCACACATAAACCCTGCAATCACTCTGTAAAACACAGCACACAAGACAATCCAATCAATCCTTGTTACACTGTAGAGCCAAGTACTTTAGGAAGTTCCACTGGACTGAAGTATCAAAGGAAGTCCTCACCTATGTATCTTCATACGCAGAAGTGAAAACAGGGAGGGTGAGAGGAAGAAAATCAGTTGGGGAAAGATGGTGGACAGAGAAAAGAAGATAGAGCAGAATTAAAAAAAAACAAACTAGAAAACAAATTGGATACAAATTGGTGGAAGATTATACTAATTACGGTATACAGATTCAAATAAACAATTATTTTACCTTGAGAAACAACAAATATAAGGAATTTGGAGAAACACGGGAACAGTTGAATGAAATGATTCAGACAGAAGTAAAAAGAACAAATGGGCAGCATACCCAATGGCCACAGGAGTATAAAGGAAAATGGTGCTAAAAAGGTAAGTGAATTTAAGTCAATGCAATAACCAATCTGGCTACCAGAAGACAGATGGCATAACTCATGTCCTCTCAGTAGAGTGGAAAACTAAAGGTATAGACTGAGGCACACATTGTCAGTCACTGCCAATGGATCTGTTTGTTTTGCTTAACCACACTTCCTTGTTATAAAGGATGGCAATATGTGTAGAATGTTATTGAAAATTGACAGTGATATAAAAAGAATTGCAGCATCAGTTAAAATTTATATAAGAAATTAGAAGGCTTGTATCTGTGCCATCCAGCAATGCCCATCAATGCCTTGAACATCTGACTCACTTTCTTTTCCTCTCTCTGTTTTTTTTTCTCTCTCTCTCTGTTTCTTTCTGTCTCTCTTCACACACACCCACACCCACCCACACCCACCCACCCCCACACACACACAGACACCTGTATATGTGTATATATATGTATATGCATACATATATATTCAAACACACATACACACACGCATTGTGTGTATGTGTGTGTGTGTGTGTGTGTATGTATTCACAGATTTTTTTTTTGACATATTGTTTACCCTCAGTAGAATATCATATCCTTGGGGGCAAGGTCTGCTTTGTTTTCTGTCTTTGTATGCTGGAGGAAATGACTATTTGTAGCCAATAATTTGAGGGGAGAATCACAGCTCTCCCCTTTTTCTAAAGTCCTTTACAAGTTCAGACTGTAGAATGAGATTGAATTAACTCTCCCCAATTTTGGTCAGACCCCACCCAACCTTACAAGGAATTTAAGGTGAGGAAACCCATTATGTTCTACTCTAACTTGTGTGGAGACAGTTCTTTATGTATAAATAGCCTAAGGCTATGTGTGGTCTGAGTACAGAGAAAAGTTTCTCTGTCCAAAGGTCACTTTCAGCCCCTCATTAAACACCTAAGGGTATACAAACTGTGAGCCATGCTGCCATGATGGTCTTTGGTCTAAGACAGATGACCAAATGACCATCCTTCTATTAATAATCTGCTGGCCTTATTAATAAAATGATTAAATTACCCAGAAATTATGTCTCACAAACATTTTTAAGTGTCACAATTTTAAGAGCCTAATCCAGTATAGCACATAGTAGGTGCTTATCATATGTCTGATAAATTAAATTGAAATACCACTGAAGTCAGGTAACCTAGAATCCTAGCCTTGTTTTGGACACTAAATAGATGGGTAACCTTAGAATGGCCATTTAAATACTCCCAGACTCAGTTTCCTAATATGCAAAATAAGTATATGAACTTTTGGGTCTCATTAGGTTGTTTTTTAAGATTTAGTGGTGATAAAGGATTTTGAAATATTCTGAAAAGTTACAAGCATACATGGAAGTGGGAAACTTTGCCTGTTATACACATTGACTGTGCATTTCCCTCTCAGTGTCTGGTAGGCAGTTCTCTAAGTGAATAAGTTCTCAGCAAGTGCTGGAATTCATGAGTAGAGATGGTTCCTCCCCTGGGGCTCCCTACACCAGCCAGTGGAATTCCACATCAGGATTTTTTCAAAATGGTCAAAGGATCATAAATGTAGAGCTGGAACGGACATCAGAAGTCATGGTACTGTCACTACTTGCCCTTTCCTCCAGGTGGGATGGAGAATGGAATAGTGTGAAGAAGGCTGGATTTGGAGGCTGACACTGGGCTTCTAATCTGGGCTCCACTGTTTGACACCTGTGTGTCATTGGGACATGACCTTATGTCTTCTCATGACCTCAGTTTCCCCTTCTAGACAAGAAGTAGACTAGAATATCTCTTGGGTTATTTCCAACTCTATTTTCAAGATCATATGAATATGGAATGATCACAAAGGCAGGGTCAGTCCTGGGCAAAAGCAAGGAAGTGGGTGATATCTTTTTTGTTTTCAGTTTTCATGGCCTCTGGATTCTAACGCTTTTATGTCCAGCACCCTCACAATTTCTTCCCTTTCCTCCTATAAAAATCTGCCCTTATATCCTTTATCCAAGTGGGGGAGTGATCTATAACAACTCAAGGTGAGAGTCCTCCAAGACAATATACATTGTAATAGAGATTAGGGTCTTAAGCAAAAGGCCGGGGGGTGGGGGGGGTGGGGGGGGTGACAGAAAGATTTCAGCCCTCTGAATTCTACATATTTACAATTACCAATATCCATTTCAGAAAGGAAATAAAGCCCCTTTCTTTGGAATGATGGAAGCTTATGGGTACACAATATTGCATATGCTATCAGCTCATTGATTGTTATATGATCACCACAAAGTAGCAATATGGTCACTACCTTTGTTTCATTTAATGAACTTTCTTTGTTAAAAAGGAAGGCTCATTGGGAGCTGATTGGGGGAGTATATCAGAAATGAAAAAATAAAACATTAATTATTATACTTTAAAAATATTAAAGATTCAATCAGAGAGCTAGCTGGTTCTGAAATAGTCACCTCTACCTCCCCCGTGTTGACACTAGCCTGAAACAGAAATGAGGCTTAAACACTTTCCCTATCAGGTAGTTAGACCATAGGTAAGTCTGACTCGCTTCTATAGTCAGGACCCTGCAAAAAGAGTCAAAAAGATCCAGTCTTCCCAACTCCCCAGGATCCCACCACTGCCCAAAATTTCAGCAATATTACAGTGGGAAAGAAGGTACCCATCCTCAGGGGAAAATTAAACACATTCCCCAAAAGACCTTCAGCCCAGCTTCATTCATTGTGAGCTGAGTTAAACAACCTGTACTGAGAGAGTGTGCACCAAAGGAGGAAAGAGGAAGCCAAGCTGGGCATCCATTTGAATATTTCCCCAGTAAATGTGCTGATTCAGTGGTGACACCTTTGTTAGTGTGATCTATCTCCTTATGTCTCCGATTCCATCAGGCCGGGGGGGAACTGTGAACAAATTACATTTTCCCCTCTCATGCTAATTACAGCCAGGCCAATGCACGTCATTTAGCACAACTTCAATCTGATGGAGTTGGACATAGTTCCCTTCTCTCTTCTCCTCTCCCTTCGCCTCTCCCCCTCACCACCCCAATAGAATGCTCCAGAATCCATTTCATACACACTGTGGCACAGTAGGGCAGAGAACATTCTGCAATACTTCATTGGAAAAGGGCTTCCATAGCAGACTGGATTTGGAATCAAGGGATGTGGGTTTGAATCTCAGTTTGTCTGATTTTTACCTATGTGACTCTAGGCAACTTGCATGCCCTTTCTGGGCAAGTAAGCTTCATCTTGATGAATGATAGCTACAAATTGATTGATTTCTCAGGGACTTTGTTATTTAAATTCCCTTCTGGCTCTAAAGCCTGTGCTCCTATGAATTCAGCAAACATTTGTTAATTAATTACTTAATTAATTAATATTAAGTGACCTATCCAAAGTTCCCTAGCTAATTGGTGTCAGAATCTGTTCTAGAACACCCCATATTTTACTCCTTCCTTGTCTTTGTTCAGTCCAGGTGTACACTGGTTACCATAAGTAATCTGGGCCTTGACCCTGGGTACCTGGGCTCTAAGGAGTGAGCCATTGCCTTATTTTCTGGTGCCCAGACCCCAGACCACTCCACAATATTCCTCCTCCACTCAGACCATCCCCTGGCACATAGTAAGTGCTTAATGTATAACCTGTTGACTGACCAACTGACCTGGACCTCTTCCCCACCTGCAACCTAGATTCTGCCTCTGGGTTCCTCATCCCTGACAATTGAGCTTTTGCCTTTCCTTGATGAACCCTAGGATTTCATGTCATGTCACGGACTGCTCCAGACCATTTGACCATCACCATGCCACCGTTTCCCCTTTCAAGTTCCCATTTATCTATTTTCTCCCCCCATGAAGAAGGAAGCTCCTTAAGAGAAAGGGTTAATTTGCATGCTTGTATTTGACTTTGT